AATGGACCTTTCGAAATTCAAGAAGTTTTTACAAATTCCGCAATTATCCTTAACCCCAAAACTAACCAAACCTCTAAAGTAAATTTTGACAGACTGAAACCTTATTTTGAATAAATTTCTTCTTTACAGATTCTATGGACTATTCTCAGTCGCCTACTTCCAATTTCACCTCTCTCCCATTAATAATACAGTCGGAATCTTCTATCACGAAGAAGGTACCATTCGAATATCTAACGATAAATGGACATTACTTGTTTACAAAGAATTGCTCCCTATAAAAACTGCCATATCCAACAACGACAGAATTTTAGAAAACTTGCTAGATAAATTTACTAATGCCGATACTCCAAGAAAACTTGCATTTCAATCCGAAGTACAAACACACATTAGTTTGATAAGACAAATTTCTAATTCCGTAAATTTAAAATATAGAGAAGTAATTGCCGACACACGAGCCTATAATCAACGCCAAAAACGAGGATTAATCAATGGTGTTGGAACCTTATGTAAATCTATTAGTGGAAATTTAGACGCATCAGACGGTGAATATTTCAATCAATGTATAAATAGGATCACTACAGATGAAAAGCAAATAGAAACACTCCTAAAGAACCAAATCTCTGTTACAACTTCTGTCATAAAATCTTTTAACACTACTATCCAAAAATTACAAATAGACGAACAAACTTTTAACAAAGACCTAAACGATATCGAAACCACTCTTATAGACATTGCTGACGACATATCATTTTACCGTGCACAATTACAAACCTTAAATTTGTGTGAATCATTAATGGAAAGCTACATATTTTTAGAAAATTATCTCAATGACATTTTGAACGCCATCACCTTTTCTCGGTTGCAAATTTTACACAGTTCAATTATTTCGCCCAATGATTTACTAGATTCATTGAAAACTATCTCACAATCATTACAAAATAATGTATTACCATTGCCCATTTATACATCAAATATAGCCCAATATATTGATATAATAAAACTTCAAGCATATCAAATCGATTCCAAAATTGTATTCGTCCTAGAAATTCCATTAGTCGACCCCGAAATCTATACCTTATATCATTTATATTTGATACCAATATTAGATAATCAAACTGGTCATTTTCATACACTTTCTACAATACATAAGTATATAGCGCGAGATGATGATTCAATTTCATATGTATTACCCCGAAACACAGAAGAATGCAAATCAATTAGTCCAAATCAAAGAATGTGCACAGATATTCTTCCCTATCCAATAGACAGCGATACTATATGTGAGGCACAGTTATTGAAACCAGCTAGATTTCTACCAAAAACTTGTCAGATGTCGACGTTTTTAGCACAAGATTACAATGTGCAAGAAATTGACCGAAATTTATGGTTAATAACAGTATCCGATCCATTACCAGTTACAATCAAGTGTGAAAGAAAAGACATTAGTACCCAGACAATCAAAGTAAACACAATTCTAAGATTACTACCCGAATGTACAGCATTTATTGGAAGTACCAGAGTCCACGCCGGACCATTTCGGAAGAAGAAACAATATACCAAATTTGAAACCATTACAACTCAATAAGATAAATGCAGACGATTTAAATATTGCACAACATAAGCTGGACCAATATTCAGAAAAACTCGACCAAATCATGAACCAACCATTCATCGAAAAACATTTGCCTTGGTTCACTATATTGTCTTTATCATTAATCATCATTTTAGTTTTTGTATACATCCTCTGCAAATGTAGACGCAAAAGATTTCCAAGACTTGCCATGAACTACCCTCAGGACTCACCTCCACCTTCACCACATCGCAGCAGTTCCATTAAACAGAAACTTAAAGGATTAACCTTTAAAAGAAGACCAGACGTACGCCCAGAAAATGAAGACGTCTCCGAAACCCCAATTGAGCTTTAAAAGTCGAAGCAAGGCATCGACTTTTCACTAATGAGGGGAGCTGTTATATGTGAAAATAGTCACCTTGAACCACTCAAGGGTTACCGACACTTTGGTTTCGCAATATCAGTTCCTATTTCATCATTCTTTTAGCAAGCGTTCCCATAGAGATAGCTGACTATGCACGGACATCAAACTCTGACCAAAGCTGGCCTTTCGTGGGAAATGCCGACACCACATTTTGTAGATAGATTATAAATTCAGGACTAACATTATATTTTTCACTCGTCATATAAGTTTCTTACTAATAACATTTGTATTATATAATTTTATTTGCTTCATTTTATCGTATAACTAAGTGTAACTTTTATTTGTGAAATAAATCTTTTTAAAAAGTCAATCAAGAAGTTAGTGATTTAACATATATATATATTATATATATATATATATATATATATATATATAAAATATATATAGTACAATAATGAATATGCAAAATCGAAAATAATATTGGTTTGCTTAATATATTTCAAAGTACAAATTATAATAATTCAAATGATTCGACTAATAAGCTATAAAGATATATCGAAGAAATGAAAGTCCATTATCTATGGATTACCTGTAGTAAACAAAATTTTAAGATATGCATAAATTATTTTCTTTGTAAAATATATTCGAGTGACGTTAGTGAAATTACTGAAGACATGAACAATGCAAGCGGGTTTTCCAAATGGACTTGTATAGTAATTAAGACAATAGAATGAATGTTTAGAAATATATTTATATAATATATATAAATAGTTCTTAAGAATTTGTAGAAACCGATTAACCGATGTTAATAGTTTTTAGGAAATTTATAATTGTAGGTAAAATTGTTTTTTGTTGCCTAAATGAAGAGATGTAGAAGTGAATGTTTGTGAGTTTTCGTGGAGTTAGTGTATCTGACAGAAGCTGATCCAGTAAAATATTGTAAGTTATATTTTCTACTTATATTCAAAGAGTCGCTATTCAGGCCATAACGAGAGATTCAGTTTATCGAGAGGAGAAGAGGCTAGCATAATTTGAACAATACGTGCATTTGAAGGAGATCATTAAAGACGATAGACTCGCAACAATTTGTTGTAAAATTGCTGATTACCTAGGGGACTGCTAAGAATAGATAGTATAGGCTACAAGGAACAGGGATTTGGACAACTCATCATCAGAGAGAGATAGTTTTGCTATTCATCAGTTTTTTTTATTAACAACACAATTTTTACAATTGCTTTAAAAAAGATAAGAATATTTTGATCAGGAGATTTAGAACACCAATTTTAGATAGATAAGAGAATTAAATAGTGTGATAGAATCATAGTTACATCATTTAAATAAGTTTAGTTAATTAATTAATTAGCTAATTATTTGCTTGGCACACCTAATACTTTGAATATCACATTAATATATACATATATATATATATATATATATATATATATATATATATATATATATATATATATATATATATATATTATATATATATGATCTTCACGATTTTTCTTTGGAAAGGCAAGCAACTAATAAAACGTAGTTTAAGTAAATTAGTATCTAGAAGAAATATTAATAGATGTTGATGTACTTAGTAATTATAACTTTGCTTTAGTTTGGTTCCGTCCATGTAATATACGGCTATATAAACTCTTATTCTTATATTATTGTTTTGATAGCACTATCTACTTATGTAATGTTATCTTGTGATTTCAGTATTTTAATCAAAAATATACCGAGGATCTATTATGCATAATAACCCCTTCACCGAATGAACCCCAGTTATTGTTTTAAATTAACTTGAATGTATTTTTGATTTGTCTTGTAAAATTTTTATTAATAATTTTTTATAATTAACAATTAGCTACTTTTTAAACTGTGCAATTGGCATTCAGATTTGGAATTCGAGATGTGTAAATAAATTGAAATAAATTGATATTTTGGTTAGTTCCCATCAAGGGTATAATGATTTTGTTTTAGATATGTTTTGCTGTTCATTTTATTTTCAACTTGTATAAAGAGTTTCTTTTACCTTAACGACTACTATAAGACTGTACTACGAAGTATTTTTAATTGTTACAGGGTGATTCGGGAGGACCACTTGAGTTAAACGGTACATTAATTGGTATCGTATCCTGGGGAGAAGTCTGTGGAACACCCGGTACAGCTGGAGTTTATACAAAAGTATCAGATTTTGTAACATGGATAAACGAAAACATAAACATTTAATGGCTACAGAAAACATATCTTTATAAAATATTTATACTGTTTGTGGAAGCAATTTCAATTAGCATTTTAAACAATTATAACAAAGTAACTTTAATAAACAAAAAAATTTAAAATTTTTATCTAAAAATATTTGAATATTTGAATAAAAATATGCTGCATATATAATGTTTTAACTGTATTTTCCTTATAATCTTTATATATATATATATATATATATATATATATATATATATATATATATATATATTTATATATATATATAATATATATATATATATATTTATATATATATATATATATATATATATAATATATATATATATATATATATATATATAATATAGTTCTAAATTGGAACTTAACACTTATAAAAAATTTGCAAATACCTATAAGCACTACTTGTAGTTTCTAACGTTTTCTGTCAGAAACTGACATCACGCATAGCTGTGCAAGGCAATTATAGCGATCATAGCAACGGGGGGTATAGCATACGGCGTGTCTATAAGCTTAATGGTGTAAAGCTATTATTAATATTTAAACGCAATAAAAGAATCTTGATCATAGTCTAGCAATTATAGAACTTTGTTGATACCTTTAACCTTAATACTAAAACAATATATCGTTCTTAAGCTATTTTTTTGTAACATCTTAACGCAATTTACTATTTTTATTAGGAATTATAATCTAAATAACAATATACCCAAAACAATTTTCAAATTTAGCCAAATGTTTTTGACTGACTCATACTCAAATAATTGCTTAATCCTTTTCGCTTTGCCATAAGCAAACATTATTGTTTATTTATGATAACAGGTGCTGTTATTCATAAATCAGTTCCAATTAAAATCTGAGCAGAAAATGATTGTGTAAAAAGTAGGTGATATTCATGAGAATGAAACTGTATATCGGTTTTTTCATTTTCGTCGTTCATTTTATTGACAACTGTCAAAATGGTGAGTAATTCTACTTTTGTACATTACTTGATTTTAGGTATGGTTAAAATCTTTTATATATTTTATCCTTATCTGTGATTTATTTGGGATAAAATAAGATCTTAAAGCGTTTGTCTGTAGAGGATCTACTAGAGAATCTTTTGTCACTCGCACCTTACTTTTTGTATAAAAGCTGTCGCAATGTTTCAAAATGATATAATATCTAACTTTGACTCATAATTAAAGTAACAGCAATAGTTTTTGGATCCAGCGTAGTTGTAGATTACATTCAATAATTCATTATGTGTCTCCTTTTTTGTTTGTGTAAATACATCTTACGTGTCATTTGAGTCTTCTTGTTCTTGTAATCTTGAGTGACATGATGTGCACACTAGGGTTGTATGCTCGCCACAAAGGTATCGTTTACAATTCTTGCAAATAGTTTAGATCAACCTGGTTCATCTTCAGTACATCTTCTGCAGCCACTAGTTTAGCTTCTTCATCGGGCTCTTCCATTAGTCTAAATCTGCTGAGAGCTTCAGAAAGAGAACGTGGTATACCTTGTGTCATAAGACTTTTTTTGTAATTGTGGTAAGGCTAACTCATGACTTAGTTTCCAAAGAAAAAGACGAAGCCGTATATAAAAATAAAAAAATATAAAAATATAAAAAAGTAATTTTTTTTTATTCTACTTGAATGATTGTAGTATACGGATCTTCATTTAGAAAGGTACTTTCCTTCATACTTTTTACAGGCTTAGGACTGTCAGCAAAAACTGGCGTGTTTAAAAGTTTTTGCTCTTCCTAATCGGATATCGTTAAAAATGTACAGAAATAATAGTTCTATTTACAGTATATACATACAAACGAATACATAATGTACAAAAAAAAAGATGAATTAAAAAAAATATAGAAAAATATGTACAAGTTAATATTTACAAAAAAAATACCCAAAATAACCAAAATATATTTATGAATTCCTAAATACCTAATTCTGTTTCGCTGTCGCTATCCGCTTCAAGATTAGTAACAATTGGTTTAAGTATGTGATTCAAAGTAACATATGAATTTTCTAATTCATTATATATGGTGTACTAAATTTTTTCCAACTTTCTGGGGAGATATCATCAACACATTTCCTTATTAATTCGACTACACTACCACTTAAAGTCGGAGAAACATTTTGTAACCTAACATTTGACTTTAGTTGGTGCCACAAAGGCTCTATGGGATTAAATAAACAATAGTAGGGCGGAAGCCGTAAGACTGTATGTCCCATGTACTCGGCCAATGCATCACAAGCATATACTTTTTTAATAGAAAATGATTTTAACACTTCTAAAAGTTCATTTTTAATGGCATTGCTCAAAAAGCTCTGCCGTTGTATCGTCATAATAGTCCACGCAGGAATCTTTAATGTTCTTTGCAGAAAGTCATAAGGCATTTGGGACCTAACCCTTTTTCTGATCCTGCATGTAAAATTGTTATTCTTTTCCCTTTATTTGATGGAGCTTTTGTTTGACACCTGTTGGACGAATCGGACCATCCTTTGGATGGTGTTTCTGGAGTGCCAAACCATGTCTCATCCAGATAAATTATTGCTCGATCTTCTATACGGTACTTTCTTACGGAGTTATATATTCAGTACGCCACTTTTATAAACGATGGGACTCCATAAGCACTTGCTTATCGTTTTTACGATTTCTCTAACGTCAGCAGATAAACGCTTTTTCTTTGTTGGAACACTGAAAGAAGCACCATCAATGTTTTCCACGGACGCCACATAATACGTCACATAAGACATTTTTTTGTATAAATAGGTATAACACTGGTAACACTTGTACCACTTTGAACTAAATGAAACAAAATGTATATTTAAAAATTTCTCATCGGTTTTATATACTTTTACAAATTATACAGAATATAGGGAAACTGTATAATTATTCCAGAAAATACTTTAACGATCAACAAATTTATTGTGGTCATTAAAAGAGCAATCATTGATAGTGAAACTCTCTGTTAAAATGTTTACAACTTTATGAAATAAAACGTATTCTAATCGTTTTTTATAATTTTATACGATTTTTTAATCGTTTTTGTATTACCAGTTTATGATACAAACAAGATAACGACACTCAACAGTAGGATCAATTTTACCTGAATACTTACCTGCTCAACTAATGTTAACTAAGCTAGGGTACTTACGGTCGGGTTTTATTGCAATCATTAAGCACTCAACCATTTTTCGTGAAATAAACTATAACAGTTTATACAAAAGCCAACAAATAGTTGACTTTTAAAAATTTCTCACCTACTAAGTATTCTGATGTTTTGGCGACGCTGTGGGGTTCTGAGGTTGTAAGTATTAAATGACGTGCAATCATTTTTATATGAAAAATTCTATATATAAATTATGTAAGCTCGTTATGAAGCACCTTGTAGAATTAATAATAATTAACAAATTTGCTTCGTTAGTTGGGTAGTTAACTTAATTAACTAATTATTGTAGACCTGTGTATACAAATATAATTATTTTAATTAGAATATATGTCTATTTTTATTTTGAAATTTTTTACTTACTGTAAACAATGGGTGGATTTTATTGCAAAAACATTTTATTTTATTACCCTTATATTTTGTTTATTATGCACATATATATAAATTAAATAAATATAAAAAACTTATAAACACACAGTCAAAATAATGTTCGGCAATATTTTTAAAAACAATACTAAAGAAATTTTTAAATGTTTAAACTTTTAAATTGTTTGCCGTTTGAATCTATGAGCTAGTTACAAAACTTTTTTATCGACTTGATTATTGATTGAAAATTATATTTTTTTTGCATAGACTAGGTTTCAATCAGCCAGTTACAACATGACTAACGCCTTAAACATAAAAATTTTATCACCGTAAAGTCCATAAAATATTATATCCGTGTAATAATTTTCGAAATCAAATTAAGATTTTTGCTTTAATCTGTGCCTTCTAAGAATTGGAAAACAAAACAGAAGTTGATAAAGATGTTAATAGAGACATGGGGAATCTAAAATTTGCATTCCACAACATATCTCCTCAACTAAGCAAAGTAAATCGGAATAAAACGGAAAAGACAGTTAATATTGATTTGATTTCACGTACGTCTATGTAATCGCTTATACGTATTTCGGCATAATGGGCCTCGTCAGAACTTCAATTCACAGTCGCTCTGAACGTGAAAATAAATCTCTTCTGTCTTAGAAAGCAACTTTAACATGGTTTCGAATGGACGCAAATAGCGACATCTGACATTAAATCCGTGAAATAATTTTCGAAACCAAATTCAGATTTTTGCTTTAATCTGTGCCTTCTAAAGCTCGGTACATATATACGAGCCAAACAGTATGCATACGGTATGCAAACGCTATATTCATTAATGTGTACGGCAGAAAAAACAGCTTGCGTACTGTATACTTACTGTTTGATTGTGACTCGTCGCGAACCAAATTGTTGCGGTTTATTCCATGACTTCAGAAGAAGCTCGTCTTTCAATTTGGACGGCAGTACTAGACGCAATGAACACTTTTATTGTATCATCAAATCGACATTTTGTGAATGACGTGTTCCTTCCTAGAGAGACGTTCTTAAATCAGTACCCAAATTATAAATCTGTGGCTATTTGCCAAAAGTTGATATGTCAAAAATCATGGTTTTCAGCTTTGCGAACCATGATATGTGTTTAAACTTATATTTTTATTTGCCAAAACTTGATATGTCTAAGGACAATATTATTAAACATATAAGTTAAAGACTAAACATGATATATTAAATTACCTCATTTTAACATTTGCCAAAAGTTGATAAGTCGACATATCAAGTTTTGTCACCATCAGATTTAAAATGTGGACGGATGTTTTATAGACATATCAGGTTTTGGTTACCAGCTGACCACAACATAACCTAATTTTATTGTTGTGCATTTTACTAAATGAAGGTGGTACTTTGGTTGTCTTAAGAAAACTATTAGTAAAAGTATGTCGCGTGGAAAGCTGTTAGTTGATATGGTTATTAGCCAACATGAAGATTCGGCGGTTTTAGTAAATTTCGAAGAAACAGTATTACAGACTGAAAGTGAGGACTTTGAAAAATCAGTGGGAAGTGATATAAGAGGATTGAAAAGGTGTTTAGTTGATGCCGAAATTAAAGAAATAAGTTCAACTTCTGCATCCACTGGCCATTCTGAAGAATTAGTGTCATATTTGAATAGTGATAATTCCGATGTAGATGAAGATTATATTCCTTCGGACACTTCATCTGACACAAGTGACAATGAGAGGCCAGGTAAATATCAAGCAGTGCCATCTAAAAAGTGTGAAACAACAGGCACTTCCAGTAATAATACGGATGATATAGTAAGGAATGATACTTTTACAAATAAAAGTGACGATGGCAAAGACCAAATAAATAGCTCTAATGTTCAACCTAAAAAAACCTAAATATAACAGAGTAGAAATGAAAGAAAAGAAGATGTTAGGAGAAGAACACATTACAAGAAAAGGTATACAAAAACCTGCAAAAGTATTTCAAGCGCTTACTAGTTGCTGTCGCAATAAATGTCACGAGTAATTCTCCATAGATGAACAAAAAGAAATTTTTTATGATTTTCTTAAAAAAGTGCCAGACAAAGACCAAGTAATTTCTGAAAGAATGAAGATTGAGTCAAAGAAGACAGAAGGAAAAGATAAAGGAGAACGAGGAAATAATAAAAACAGACAAATTGTGGTTTCCTATTATATTACATATAACGACAAAACGTCAAAAGTTTGCAAATACATGTTCCAGAATCTACATGGTATCACAAGAGGAAAAATTGATATTTTGATAAAAAAAACAAATATCACCCACGGGTTTTATAGAACCTAATGGATCTGGAAAACGCCAACCACACAACGCTCGACCAGACGAAAAAGCTGAAGCTATAAAACACATAGAGTCTTTTCCAAAATATGAGAGCCACTATTCTCGAAGACACACAAGTCGACT